GGCCCGGCCGCTCCCGCCCCTCGCCCGGCCCCGCCCCCTGCTAGGCCCCGCCCCCTCCCGGGAGCGCGCCTCCGTCCCCGCCGCGCGCGAGCCACCATAGAGAGGAGCGATGCGCGTGGCGGGCTAGAGCGTAGGCCCTGCGCGCGCCCCCTGGCGGAGCCGAGCCTCCCGGAAGCGGGGCGGGGCAGGGCGGATGGCAGGACAGCCGCCGCTCCTCGTTGCGTTGGTTATAACGCTCTGCCTGAGGAGTGGAGGGTCCAGATCCATGTCTCAGGTTGGCCGAGACCCGGCTTAGTGACCTTGAGCGAATCCCTTTCTCTGAACTCGTTTTATGATAGCAGTTTGAAAGTTGCCTCACTCGATCTCATCGTTCCTCAGGACAATGCTGTGAGCAGGTGATGATTTCCCACCCCACGTCTGAAAAAACCCAGGCCAGTCGGAGTTCACCAGCTTATTCAAATTCCCATAGGTGGGAGGTATTAGAAGCCAGGTCTGGGGTACAGCAAAACCCATGCTTGTCCCACTCACTCTATGGCACCTCCCTGTCTAGCATTTCCCAGTCTTAATCCCCTAGGATTAGCACTTTCACCTTAGAAGGTGAAGAAGCTGCTGAGAAAGGCTGTGGTAGAACGAAAATGACTCTGCTGAGCAGCCCATCCTGGTCGCTCATCACCTGTGTACCTTTCAGCAAGGTACTTAACCTTTCTGAACTCGGTTCCTCATCCCAGAAATGCAGGCTGGTAGGAGGATTAAATGAGCTAATGCATGTAGAAGTTCTTGGTAAACTATAAAGCAGCAGGGTAGCGTGGGGGATCATTAGCCAGCATGGGCTAAGAGGATGCCTAGTCATAAAAATAATATAAATTCTAATCCCTCTTCTAACTGGTGTCTAGTGACACTTAATTTTGTTGTGCTTTAGGGTCCTATAGAGACCTCCTAAAGGCTTTCTGAGCAATTCGTATCTTAAAATAATATCATAAGGACAAGTGAAGTAAAAATAATATGTATACATATCAGACTCACTTTACAAGTGTTATTTCCAATCCTCACAACCCAGCAAACTAACTGTACTATTATTCTCATGTTATCAGTGAGGATCTACATATTAAGTAATTTATCCAAAGCAGTTACTAGTTAGAAAAAGGCAGAGCTGGAATGTGAAACCAGTTCTTTCTACCACCTGGAATGCTTGGTAGACTGGCCTTGCAGAGGCCTCCTGCACCTGAATTAAGTATGCCCATCTTTTTCCTACCTGGCTATTTTTATAACTTTCCTTGATCCAAGTCCCTGTCTTCTCTGCTTCCCTCAGGGCTTTATTTCCCCCCACAAAGGCATTTATTGTCCCCTCTTTTCCCTCCCTGGTTCCTTTTCTCCTGAGATGCAGGACCTTGTCTATCCTCTCAATCCTGAAATGGATTCATGAGTTGTGATTAAAGCACTGCTTTCTCCACCACATCTCTCCTTCTTTCAATATGATTTATAGCCACAGAAAGTTAACAGGTCCAGAATAAGGGTAGGGTGAGACCCAGATATGTCTTTAGTTTACAAAAGCTGAGCTGAAAGGGAGTACACTTAATCCACTGATTGGACCCAATAATTGGAGTCTGGATTCATAACATCCCATGGAAATTTTTTTTCTGGACCCTCTGGCCCATATTACAGTTAAATCATTGGAATGATGCTAAATAATGTGCATATCACTGAAACAAGGAGGTCTTGGAGCTGCATTTACCCACACTCCTCCTTTCTCCACCTTAGGCATTATCACCATTACTATTTTTCATCTTTATCATGCCTTTCCACAGAGGCACTCAATAATGTATCCATTGTGCAAGTAATCTGAAATCCTTTTCAGTGAGCAACAGTATTTAGTAGTAAAACACTAATTTGTCTACCAAGTGACATATTTACAGGAGCTGTTTACTTTGACATATTCTTTATATAATTTCTACTCATTTGCTAAGTACCTTCCAATACATATTTATAAAGCACATGCCTTTCCCCAAACAGCAGTGAAAAAATAAATTATATTACTTATTTTATTAGTAGCAGCATGGCTTGTAATCCTAGTGCCTTAATTTTTGTTATTTCTTTTTTTTTTTTTTTTTTAAAGATGACCGGTAAGGGGATCTTAACCCTTGACTTGGTGTTGTCAGCACCACGCTCAGCCAGTGAGCGAACCGGCCATCCCTATATGGGATCCGAACCCGGGGCCTTGGTGTTATCAGCACTGCACTCTCCCGAGTGAGCCACAGGCCGGCCCAATTTTTGTTATTTCTGACAAGAGCCAAAAGAATTAATGGTGATTGAACACCTACTATGGGCTAGACTGTCTGTGAAAGGTGCTTTATGTAAATTATCTGTTCAATTCCCCTGAGACAAATTTTACCAATAAGAGATATGCAATACCCCTGCAACACAGATTTTACCAATACGACAGAAGTTACCTTGTCCAAGTAGCTCAACCAGAAAGGGCCCAGCAGGATTTTGAGCCTAGATCTTTTCCTGATTCCAAAATCCTGAATTACCATTCCACTTCACCAACCCTCCCTAATTTTTCTGAACCTAACAATTCTGTGAAATATAAAGTGTTCCTTTCGGAGACAGGCTGCGTAGGTTACCCCAGAATGGAACAGTTAGAGATAAATATACACAGAATGCTAACTCTAATTTTCCTTTTTTTTTTTTTTTTTTTTTTCAAAAAGATGACCGGTAATGGGATCTCAGCCCTTGACTTGGTGTTGTCAGCACCACGCTCAGCCAGTGAGCAAACCAGCCATCCCTATATAGGATCCGAACCTGTGGCCTTGGTGTTAGCACCATACTCTCCCGAGTGAGCTGGCCCCCCTTTTTTTTTTTTTTTCAAAAAAATGCCCGGTAATGGGATCTCAGCCCTTGACTTGGTGTTGTCAGCACCCCGCTCAGCCAGTGAGCAAACCAGCCATCCCTATATAGGATCCGAACCTGTGGCCTTGGTGTTAGCACCATACTCTCCCGAGTGAGCTGGCCCCCCTTTTTTTTTTTTTAATTGAAACATAATTGATTGTACATATGTGTGCTAACCCTAATTTTTCTATGGGAGGTTAGTTTCCCCGGGAATTATTCCCCAAGAAATCAGTGGTAGGATGTTTCTCAAAGAGAAGGGTCAGTACTAGAGCTCAACCCATTCCCGGAGACAGGACTGGTTACCTCGTTTTCAGGGCACAAGGCAAAATGTGAAACCCTTGTTCAAAAATTAAGAATTTCAAGACAGCAACATCAGAGCATTAAACTAAGTGCAGGGCCCTACTAAGCATCGGGCCCTGTGTGACTGCACTGGCCACATGACCATGAAGTTGGTCCTGCCTGGACAGAAGACTGTCATCAGTACCTCCCATCATAAACTTCACAATGATGAGTTTGAGTACCTGTTACATGCCTGGAAAAGTATTCAGTGTTTAACATAAGCTATATGACCCTAAAACAACTCTATGAAGCAGGTATTATTGTTCCCTTTTCACAGTGGATGAAACTAAGGCTTAAAGAGGCTATGTTATTCATACAATGTCATACAGCAAGTAAATGTCAAAGCCAGAACCAGGTTAGTTGATATGTAAAAAAAATCCTGTTCCTTGACTTTGTATCCTTTTCAGCACAGGCCCACTGTTTTCTGGCAAAACCCAAACTTAAACTGAGACTATTATACCCAGAGACTACAGAGCCAGGGAAGAGCAGAGATCCACAGGCTATTCAAGGAGTCAAACCTGGGCAGCAGCTGATGTGCAGTTGTACAGCTCCAGGGCATGTGAACATTCCACTGGCTGGGACAGGGAACTCTATCCATGGCAAATGTAATAGCCAATACCTGGACTACCCTTCCAAGACTGACGGGAAATGCGATGTGGTCTTTACCTTGATAAAAGGTGACTACATGGACCATAAGGCATCTAACTCAGTGTTAAAATATTTGAAGGAGCCCACTAAAGTGAGGAAAAAGATGACGGCTATTGTTCCCTCTACTTTACAGAGTACTGAAAGCTAGTCTAGCCAGAGTAATAGGACAAGAAAAAATGATGAAAAGCACTTTTGTCAGGTTATCCTTTGATTAATAATATGCCTAGCTCTAATTTACTCTCTCTGCATCTCAGAGCCTTCTCCAATGCCCATCTCCAGCACACAGAATTGCGGTTTAAACTCTACCCAGACAACTCCATGCCAAAACACAGCAAAAATGTACTAGGATATGCATCTAAATCCCTTATCTCCTCCTGGCTCACATCTCAGAGATGCACAGACCCTGCTGTTTTTTTTATTCAGCTTTATTTCCCCCTAAACCTCCAGTTTTCTCTAATACTAACAATATGTGCCTTCTCCAAGTGTTTGTCATTCTCTAACTTCCCTGGGGGAAATCAGAAAGAGCTGATAAAGTAGATCTCTGATCCAGCTTTTTATGGTGAGCTAAGCTGAAAAGACATTGGGATGTGCAGCCTTTGCTATCAAGGCAAAGTATGAAAAAAAGTTTTGCTGAAACATTTACATATTTATAGCCAAAAGCAGCATGAAGATGGGAGGAAGTGAGTTTGGTATCAGACAGATTGGAGTTTAGATTTCCCATGCTGCCACTTACTAACTTTATGTCCTTAACCTCACTGAGCTCCCATTTACTGTCTGTAAGATGGAATGATTCCCTATGCCACAAGGCCGTCCTAAGGTCATAATGAGATGTCTATAAAGGGCCTAAAGACACATACGAGAGCCTCGATCAATTTGTCTCCTGGACTGTGGCAGGCTCTAGTGGTTGCCCATCCACCATCCAGTTCATCCACACACACTCCCTCCTTTCTATTAGAACCCCCATTTTCTTCCAATGACCACAGCATGTGCTTCAAAAAAGCCTGTCCCTTGCCCCCACTCCAGGGCTATTTCCTAGTTGGTCTGAGTCCATCATAGTGGTCCCATTTCCCTTGCCAGTTACTGATTTAGACATGGGTGCATGAAAAAATTCTGCACCAATGAGCTTTGAGGGAAGTCTGCTTTGGTTGGAAGGAGGCTCTGTTTTCCTTGTTCTTAAAAGTGTACAAGGAGGTGATCCCTTTCCTGCCTGTAGATATTGTCATGCCTGGGTGGACTGATGCTCAGAATGGCTGCAGTCAGGCTTTGATGAGGGCAATGAGCTTGAAGACAAAACTAACACCAAAGGAGAACACAGCAGAAAGATGGAAAGGCCCTATGCCACTTGACAGTGAGCCATCGAATTAGCTAACCTTGGATTTCACATTATCACAGACAGTGTCCTTATTGTTTATGCCTCTTTAAGCCAGGTTTTGTTACTTGCAGTGAACAGCAGCCTCAATGACACATGGATCTTTTGCCTGAGAGAGTCTTTGGGAGTTTAAGTGCCTGACTTAACTAAAGCCATCAAGTGCTAGCACATAGTAGGGACTCACCATTAATTTTGTCTAATATCAAACGAACGATATACAGTAGTCCCCTGTAGAAAAATATGTAAAAAGAGACTGTGGGGACTCAATGACTAGATCAAGAGAAAAACATTCCTGCATTCTTCCTTTGCCACCTTTAAAATGCATTAAAGCTACCCCTTTCATATATTTAATAATTACTGAGCTCCCATAATATAGAGGAAAAAATTGACAAAAAAGGAGCCCATGGGTAGGCACATGAACAGAAAGTACAAGTGAGTAGCACAGGGGAGTTATGATAAACATCTATCTACACCACAGTTGAGGCACAAAAAAGGGAGAATGTCAGGGTGGGTGTGCACCAGATATAATGGGCGTTAGGCTGAGGCAGACACATAAGGAAACAAAAGACACTTGGGCAGAAGAGCTAGTCCCCTGGGTGTGCACCACGTGGTGTGGCCGGAACAGAAAATGCCGTGGCAGCACCAGGCAAGACAAAGCCTGATCTAGGAGCAAGGACCAAAGGATCAAGCCAACTGTGAGGGACAAGGCCTGCAGGAATGTCACCCGGTGGTCTGGAGTAGCAATGAATGGAGTGCCTTCCCGTGGCCACGTGGGGAAGGACCATGGCACCTTCAGCTGGAGTCTGCGCCCCAGTAGGAACAGAACTGTGCAGACTAAAAATTAAAGGCAACATGGGGATAGAGTGTCCTGGCTTAGGAATCAGGAATCCTGGGTTCCAGCCCTGGTTCTGCCACTGGGACTGTCCCTTTCCTTCTCTGTTAAATGACAGGATGGGCCAGATGATCTTTATGGGCGACTGCACTGTTCTAGGGTCTTTAGTCTGATATAAAGCACCTGGACTCACCACATGTAGGAAACAGGGCAGGGATGGCAACCAGACTCTACCTTGAATGCCAACTCCAAGTGATTGGTAGTGGCTACCTGGAGTGCTATATTCAGAAAAACTGCAAAATACTACAAGGTCCACAAAAAAAGAATGCCTGTGATTGACTGGTGATGTATGCTTGTGGGCTCAGGATGCCCAAATGGTACCACAAGTGGCATGCATTTTCCATTCCCAGCTTAATGTACTGCTTCTTATTATGGTTGCAAGAATGTGCCAACCACCCATGGTGTAAAGGTGCTGAAAATTAGTTTCTCCTGGGGTCTCTTGTGAAAGCAAGTGTCAGGGTTCCCCCAGTCTTAGTCTCACCAACCCTGTCCTCGCTCAGACACCCTTAGTTGGTTTGCCACTCATTCCCAGTCCTCCAAGCATCTTGCTTCTATCCCGGCTGCATCCATCACCTCTAAATGTCATTATCTTCTGCATGTAACTCTGACCCTCCTTTCCTGCAGCCAAGACACAACTCATTCATTATATAACAGGCTCTCTGACCAAGAAAGATGACCTTCCTGTAAAAAATGTGGCCAGTAAACAATCCTGATTATTTCTTTACTTTGCCTTTTATTTTCCATGCTCTGGCGTCGGCCTCTCCTCCTAGCCAGGGTTACAGCTTTCAGATGAATGGCCATGGTGCTGGTAACAGACAGGGGGGTTATTTCATACACTAGGGCACTAGCTGTAGTACATCTGGCAGGAAGAGAAGTGTAATTATATTGCATCTCGGAGCCACCGGCAATGAATTTCTACATAAAGGACTAGATTTGCCATGTATTATTTACATCAGCATCAATTTTCCCAGCTGGCTCTATTTACTGTGCAAATTTTCCTCCGTCTGTTTATGGGCAAGGCCATGGTTCAGCACCTCTGGTTACTCTATTTTGTGGAGGGACCCCACAGGGCAACATGCATATTAAACAAGCAGCTGGATTCACCAGCAGCAGGTCATATCCTCCCTTCCTGTTAAATTATATCCCTGGGACTGCAGCAAGCTCACATTCTCACTAGGCATGGTGATGCACACAGGTGTGTGAAACCAAATCAGCAAAAGGAAAGGAGGAATGACCGCACTTTGGGGCTCACTGGGGGAAACTGAAAAACACCTTCTGGGGGGAAATCAGGTGGCTCTGGGGCTCAGGGAATTTCCTTTTTATATATTTAAGAGCAGGACACAGATGAAGAAGAGTTTTACATGTTTGAGGTAATTTCCACCCAGTAACTCAGAGACAGAACTAAGGGAAAGGGGGCCCCATCTAACAGGCAGAAAAACAGAGGCCAAAAAAAAAAAAAAGAGAGAGAGAGAGACACAAAGGCAAACGGGAGGCTTCCTGGCTCAGTCACAGTGCGAGGATGGAGCACAGGGTGTGACAGTGACACACGGGATTACCCTCCAGTCACTAGCGTGCCCCGGCAAAGAAGCACCAAGCCAGGGTGAACTCAGCTCCTGCCAGAAACATCCATGGTAGAAACAAGGGAAGGAAACTTGGCACCAACATGAATTTTCTGGGTCCCTGCACTGCAGCATCCCCTCTCGCCTGGGGCTCTACATGCTTCCACTGAGAGTGAAGCTGAGGAAACAGCCATCTCTTCTGGCCAGCCTGAGAACTTCTGCAGTCCCAAGTGCTGGGGCAGTGAACAGCAGGTATTACTGGAAGGAAAGCTGGGGGGTGAGGCCTCAATGCCTCTCCCCTTGCCAATCAACAACACCAGTCATGTCTGATCTCCCTGTAATGCCGGGCTCTGCTCTGGAATCCCCCAGGTGCCAATGTCTACCATCTCCTGAAAACCTGTTGGCTGAAAAAAGAGATAGGAGGGAGGGGTAAGTTGAGTAGCCCAAGTGAGCAGCCTCTTTTGTTCCAGGGTCTCAGCATCTAAAGAATTCTGCTATAAGACACCTGTGGGCATGAAAACCACCCTCCAGGGCCCAAGATCACTGGCATCCCCCTGGGGCTGGCTAACCTGACGAGGAGATTTAGTCAGACACATGGTGCGCTGGCAGCCTGATGCTCCTGCTCCATCAGTGATACTCAGGAGAATCCGGGTGCTGGGCACAAAGCTCCAAGAACGTCCGAGGGCTGGTTTGAACTTCCCGCTGTCCCTGTCGCAGGTCATGTGGTTTGTCACCTACAGCAGAAGACTTAAAGATGCTAATCTAGAGGACATCTGTTCCTACTGTTTCATTTTACAGATGGGAAAACTGAGGCCTAGTACAGAGGACTGACTTCCCCAAGTCTCCATAACTTAATGGCAGGGCTGTAACTAGAACCCAAGGCTCCTAACTTGTACCCAGCTCTTTCCACTAAACTTTAATGCCTCAGGCCTGACCCAAATCAAAAGGCAAGGGGGCAATGTCTGGGAAAAAGCAGTGCTATTTGCATTTTCCTAAAAGGAAGCCAGCAGAGGGCTTGAGCCTGCTATACCCCCAACCCAACAGATGGGCATCCAGAGACCATGCTCACCCAGCCTTTTGTGTTTGGGAGTGTGTCTGCGTGTGTATGGGAGTGGGGAGTTGTTTTGGAAGAGGGGGTCAGTCAGCACTACTAATCTGGTCAGTCAGCAGTACTCTGCTGGTCGTAGAGGTAAGCAACTCAAGCCTCAGAACATCCTGTGGATGAGCCTCTCGAGGGCAGGGTCAGTGGCTTGTTCATCACTGAATTCCCTCTGCCTAAGCCAGAGCCTGCCACACAGCAGGCACTCACATGTATCAAGTTTTATTGGAACACAGCTATGCCCATTTGTTTATGTATTATGCATAGCTGCTTTCATGCTATATTGGCAGAGTTGTGTACTTGTGACAGAGACCATATGGCCATAAAGCCTCAAATATTTACTACCTGACCCTTTATAGAAACAGTTTGCTGATTCCTGTGATATAGGCATTAAACAAAATAATATGTTGCCATACAGCACTGTGGAAAAACAGTATGGTAGCTCCTCAAAAAGTTAAAAATAGAACTACCATATGATCCACCAATTCCACTTCTGGATATATATCCAAAAGAAGTGAAAGCAGGGACACAAAGAGATATTTGGGGGTTTTTTTGTTGTTTTTTTTTAAAGATGACCAGTAAGGGGATCTTAACCCTTGGCTTGGTGTTGTCAGCACCACGCTCAGCCAGTGAGCTAACTGGACACCCCTATATAGGATCCGAACCCGTGGCCTTGGTGTTGTCAGCACCATGCTCTCCCAAGTGAGCCACGGGCCGGCCCTACAAAGAGATATTTGTATACCTCCATTCGTAGCAGTATTATGCACAATAGCCAAAAGGTGGAAGCAACCCAGTGTCCATCAATGGATGACTGGATAAGCAAAACGTGGTATATCCATGCAAAGGAATATTACTCAACTTTAAAAAGAAAGGGAATTCGGACACATGCTACAACATGAATGAGCCTTAAGGACGCTATGTTAAGTGAAATTAGCCAGTTACAAAAAGATATATACCAAATGATTCCACTTATATGTGGTACTCAGAATAGTCAAAAGCATAAAAATAGAAAGTAGAATAGTGGTTGTCAGGAGCAGGGGAAACGGAGAGTTATTTTTAATGGGTACAGAGTTTCAGTTTTACAAGATGAAAGAGTTATGGAGGTGGAGGGTGGTGATCACTGAACAACATTATGAATGTATTTAATACCACTGAAATAAATACTTTAAAATGGTTAAATAGTAAATTTTATGTGTATTTTACCACAATAAAAACAGGGGGGCTGGCTGTTTAGCTCAGTTCGTTAGAGCACAGCCTTGTCATACCAAGGTCACGGGTTCAGATCCCCGTACCAGCCAGCCGCCAAAAAAATAAAAATGAATGAGTAAATAAAATTTTAAAGATGGCAAATTAGAAAAAAAAAAAAAAAACTGGAAAAAATATGTAGCTGCTAAAATGGTATTCTTAATCTATGTAAACACTGAGATGGTAAATTACGTGTATTTTTATTTTTTTAAATGAGGTTAGTTAAGTTAGAAAGTTAGCTAAAAGTACAAGTACATATGCAAAGAAAATTTTTATGGACATATATCAAAATATTAATATGGCTTCTGTGAATGTGGAGATTGATTACAAATTTGAATCTTATATTTATTTTTTACCTTTCTATGAGAAGCATGAAGACTTAAAAAACTACTTCATAAGCAGAAAAAGCTACTTTTTTTTTTTTTTTTTTTCTCTAAAAGAGGACCGGTAAGGGGATCCCAACCCTTGCCTTGGTGTTGTCAGCACCACGCTCACCCAGTGAGCAAACCGGCCATCCCTATATGGGATCCGAACCCGTGGCCTTGGTGTTATCAGCACCGCACTCTCCCGAATGAGCCACAGGCCGGCCCAGAAAAAGCTACTTTTTTTTTTTTTTTCTCTAAAAGAGGACCGGTAAGGGGATCCCAACCCTTGCCTTGGTGTTGTCAGCACCACGCTCACCCAGTGAGCAAACCGGCCATCCCTATATGGGATCCGAACCCGTGGCCTTGGTGTTATCAGCACCGCACTCTCCCGAATGAGCCACAGGCCGGCCCAGAAAAAGCTACTTTTTTTTTTTTTTTCTCTAAAAGAGGACCGGTAAGGGGATCCCAACCCTTGCCTTGGTGTTGTCAGCACCACGCTCACCCAGTGAGCAAACCGGCCATCCCTATATGGGATCCGAACCCGTGGCCTTGGTGTTATCAGCACCGCACTCTCCCGAATGAGCCACAGGCCGGCCCAGAAAAAGCTACTTTAACAGCAAAAAGCAGCTCTGGAAAAGACAAAACTATTGGGACAGAAAACAGATCAGTGGTTTTTCTGGGATGGGAGGACCTTTTTCGGGGGTAATAAGACTGGATACAACTATATCCATTAAGGCAAACTTCAATTAAGGAGAAAGTTACTCTTATGTAAATTAAACCTCAATAAACCTGACTTAAAAAGAAAAGAATTAGAAAGAAAAGCAAGGAGGTCCCTGACCCCCTTGGCTATTTTTAGTCCAATCCCCTCACTGTCCAGGGCTCTAGATGACCCAGGGAAGCTGGGCTATGTCTCTCTCCTAAAGGGCCACTTTGGGGTTCAGAAGCTGCCATTTAAGGGGAATAAAGAGCTAGCTATAACTAGAAACCCAGTTTGTCAGCCAAGCCTGCCTCCTCACCACCACTGCCAGGCCAAGGTCCCGGGCCAGGGTCTTCAGCTCTCGGGCCAGCTGCATCATTAAGGCCAAGCCTGGAGGAGGAGAAGCAGAGAGGGATGGCAGCAGGGGACCAAGGACAGAGCTGGGAGGTAAGATCACGTCCCCTGACCCCAGGCTCTGCCACGCCACTCACCTTCCCTCTGCTGACCTCCCAGAAGTGGGGAGACCACCGCAGTGACCGAGTCCACGACCACCACCTTCATAGTTCCTGAAGAGCTGGTCACCTGGAGGGATTGGGGGAAGTAGGCACCATGAACCAGTTAGCCCCAAGGGGGGGGCACCATTACAGGACAAGCTTGCTCCTCTAACTAGTAAGAAATAACCTCCCCTGTCCCAAATACAGCTGCATGGGCATCACCAAATTTCTGCAATACCCCCTATCCCCATTTGTATATATAACAGACTTTACTGAAGTCGGGTGGACAGAGAGGGTTTAAATCACAGGACATCACATATACACTAAAATAATCAAATTTTAGAAATCTGCATTCAGAGCCCTTTGGCACCCAGGTCATGGATTTCTCAGTGGCCCTATTTCTTATGTCCAGCCCCCCACATCTTGTAGACTCTTCTTTTCCTTTTCTGACTCCCTCCTCCTTTTCCTTTTCTGACTCCCTCCTCTTATTTCCACTCCCAAATTCCTAACTTTCTCTGCTGAAGAATTGAGCCTTCTGTTTACTTCACTGTCTCCTTCTAGATCATGCCTCCAGGGCCTCATCTTCCACATCCAAATGACTCCAAACAAAGACAGTTCTTTCTCTAAGGAACTCTGATACCATTTTCAAAGCATAATTTGTTGTCTCTACACAAGCGTCAGCATCCTCCTAGCTTCTCTGGGCCTAAACTGTCTTTCATGCTTCCTTCCTCTTCTCCCTTAATTCTTATATCCTGATTCGGTTTCTACAACACTTTTTTCCACTTCACATTGGCCAAGTCTTGGATATTCAGCATGATCTGCTCTGTCTTTTGCAGGTCTTCTTTCATCTTCCAACTACTGACTCTTGGCCAGTCCCAGCTTGTCTAAGAGAGGATGGCAGAAAAGAGAGAAGCTAAAAGAAATCAGCTTGGCCCCTCCTTACCACCTTTGGGAAAGCAGGCTGAAACATCTGGCTAAAATGGGACAAGCAAGCCTTTTGCTGCTTGTGACTATGAAGCTATCAGGTCATCTGTGGCAGACAGACCCTTAGGTGGCCCCTGTGATCCCCACTTTCAGACATCCAAGCCCTTATATAATCTCTTTCCTTCAAGTGTGGATGACATCTGTGACTCACTTTTGATTACGAAGATGTCAAAGGTGTTGAAAGGTCAGTCTCTTGATTAGACTACATTACATGGCAAAGGTAGTGGGACATCACTCCCATGATTACATTATGTTATGTAAGACTTGGTGTTGCTGTTTGCTCTTACTCTCTTGCTGGTCTTGAAGAACAAGTGACCATACTGTGAACTCCCTGCCACATGGCAGGAACAGCCTCTAGGAGCTGAAGGCAGCATCTGGCCAATGACAGCAAGAAACTGAAGCTGTTAGGAAGTGAATCCTACCAGCAACCTGAGCAAACTTATAAGCAGATTCTTCCCCAGTTGAGCCTCCAGATGAGAACACAGCCCAGCTAACACCTTGATTACAGCCTTATGAGACCCTAAGCAGAGGACCCGCTAAGGTGTGCTCAGGCTCCCAACCCAGGAAAACGGTGAGATAATAAATATGTATTGTTCTAAGCCACTTAGTGTAGTAACTTGTTATACAATAATAGAAAGTATTAATATTATATATATATTATTATTATATATGTTATTTATATTATATATATAATATTAACAATAATAGCAAATGGGACCATTTAATGATCCTATGGTAAAAAATATAGTCTTCTGAAATGGAATTGAGAGATTTGGATTGTAAGGTTAGTTCTTATCCTATGTGGTGACTTTGAGCAACTCACTTAACTTCTCTGGCCCTCACTCTCCTCATTTCTAAAAATAGGAGGTTTGAATTAGATTACCACTACTCGACTTCATGTCTCAACAAGCTGGTGGGTCGTAACCAGCTATGACCTCTGTGGCAAGTATTTGTTCCACTGCTATATGTTCTAAAGTTTGTAAAAATCATTTACATTAAATATAATCCTGGCTATACCCATGGGAACATGTCATGCTTTTGGATGAGAGAAACAGTTTGAGATTAACTAAATTATTCTATCTCTAAGCTGTCTTCCAAATTTACTAGTCTAGGGCTGAGCCCGTGGCGCACTTGGGAAGAGTGCAGCGCTGGGAGCGCAGCAGCACTCCCGCCGCGGGTTCAGATCCTATATAGGGATGACCGGTGCACTCACAGCGCTCACTGGCTGAGCACGGTGCAGCCGGTCTCAAAAAGGACAAAAAAAAAAAAAAAATTTACTAGCCTATAAATCACGTATTATTATTATTATTATTTTTTTTTTTTTTGGCAGCTGGTCTTGATCATGGTGTTATCAGTACCATATTCTAAACAACTGAACTAACCAATCAGCCCCTAGTCTATAAATCAGTACACCAAGTCCTGTCTAAGCACCTAGCAGGAATAGCAAGGTACCAACCCAAATGCCATTCTAATTCCTCCTTCCTTGTTAACAGGACTCTGAATATGTTCAGGCACTGGGCAGAAATCTCTTCACTTCAGGGAAGGTGGTCCCAGCCTGTGACCCAAGATACACATATAACTCAGTTTTGGCCAACTAGAGGTAAGAGGAAGAGGGAAGTCTACTAGTGGGCTCTGAAGAAAGATTTTTCTTCCCTGATAAAAGGGGAGAGGTACAGAAAAGAACCATCTATCTTTCACTGCCCTGAATATGGATGTGGATGTGTGAAGACAAGACACTTGGAGCTATAGCAGCCACTTTGCAATCATGAGGAGAACAAGAGACTCAGATACCTGGTCTAGTGCCCTGATATCATGGACTTGCCAACCTCCAGACTCGTGAGATAATTAAATGTCCTCAAGGTTCAAGTCTCTGTCAGACAGCCTCTATTACTTGTAGTTGAAAGTATTCCTAACTGTTCTACCAGAGAATGCAGAGATGAATACGACATAATCCTTGCACTCAAGGGGTTGACTGTTTAGTAGGGAAAGTGAGTGGACATGTAAACAAAGAGGCATGTGAATTAAGCCCTCAGGAATTCCACTGTGGAAGTGGCAAGCACAGCTGGAGTCACCAGACTGCACATCTGCATTCCCAAACAGAGTCTGTAGTAGGACACCTGCCCACATACAGACAGCACCTGGGAAGCTGGGTAAAGCAGAAAGGGGCAGAACAGCAGCTCACCTGCTGGGCCATGGTGCCTCGGAGGTCCTGCAGCACATCCAGCATCTGGAAGATGTCAAACGCATGCACCACCTGGATCCTCTGGAGAGCTCCTGCCTGAATGGGTGGGAAAAAGAAGCAGGGGCTTTGGATAAGAGGGAGTAGGTGGTCAAGAAAGGAGATGAAGAAGAACTGTAAGGCTGAGAAGGAAGAAGCAACTAGATGTAAGGACTCAGGCCCAGGATGGCAGATGAGCTTTGTCTCAAGGTCCACTTCTTACAGCAGTGGCTGCCCAAGTGCTGACCTATAAGCCAAGTCAGAACTCAGTTGGGAGAGTAATACAACTGACTAGTGATGTCTTCCATGGGCAAGAAATGAGCTGGAAACACAGATGCTGAGTGTTTGCCAGCCCTGATTTAGGGTATGCAAAGAGATGGGTTTCCTGGAAGAATCAGTGTGGGTAGCATCCAAGCTGGGATGATGATGGAATTAATGGGAGGCTTGAGGAATACAGGAAGTACAGGTTGAGTATCCCCTATCCAAAATGCTTGGGATCAGAAGTGTTTGGGGTTTTGGATTTTCAGATTAGGGGTGCTTAACCTGTATTAATAGAATAGCAAGTTTCAAAGCAAGAAATGACTGTTCACTCCAACGGCCAAAATCCTTGCAATGTAAGGGATAACAGTTCCGATGTCAGAATCTAAATGGAAACCTTACCTGTTCCTCCTCGTCCTGGGTTCTAGCCTGAAGCAGTTGGAGGAGGCGGGAGGCTGTCAGCCCTCCTTTGGAATCAATGTATAGGATGTTCTGCTGTAGGCCATAGGCCACATTTGCCGCCACACAAAGACATACCTGAGTAGAGACCAGGACAGACTGAGTGAACCTGAGCCCTCAGGGAAGCACCAGAATGGGAGCTCCCCACCAAATCTTGCCCAGATCCCAGCGACACAAATGGGCCAAGTCCCAGCCCCCCTCCTCATCACCCATCTTCTCTCTCCTGAGCCCTGTCCCAGGGCTCCAGGGCTTTGCAACTCCTTCCCAACCCTCCTGGCTGCTGGCTCAAGTGTACCTGGGTTTTGCCGCTCCCTGGGCCTCCTACAATTTCAGTCACTTCTCCAGTGTAGAGACCAGCATCAAGCAGTTTGTCCAGGCTAATGGCAGAAGAGGACAGAAGAGAATCAACCCAGGAGGTTAGGAGAAAGAGAGGGGACAAGGCACAAGAAGAAAAGTGAGACATTCTTTCCAAGCACTGGTTCTATCCAGAGATGCTCTGAAAGTCTCTGGCCAGTAGGTTTCTCCTGGTAGAATCTTTTTCCAGGAAGGAGGGTGTGCCTGAATGTTCCTCCTCTGGCCTCTCTTCATCTTTCCACTCTCAGCTTACAGATCACCTCTCCAGAGACCCCTCTGCTGCCCCATTAAAAGATCCTCCTTTCATTCTCCATCTCAGCCACTTGTGGTGTTCCTTGATAGCATTTCCCATAGTTTGTTAATTTTTTTTTCCCCCAGTGGCTGGCCAGTATGGTATAATTTTTCTAAAACTTTTAAATAATTGTGGATTCACAGAAAATTGCCAAAAGTCCCGTGTATCCTGCATCTGGTTTCCCTTAATGGTAACAAACACCTTGCACTACAAGATGTATTGTACAATATCACAGTTAGGAAACTGACATTAGTACAATCCTCAGAGCTTATTCAGATTTCACCAGTGTAACCTGCACTTAAGCATGTGTGTCTGTGTGTATAGTTCTATGCTATTTTATCACACAATCCACACAATCAAGATACAGAACATTTCCATTGCTACAAGTCTTCCTCATGCTACCTATTTATAACCATATCTCTCCCATCCCCTCATCCCTAACCCCTGGCAACCACTAATCTGTTTTCCATCTCTAGTATGTTATTTCAAGAATGTCATGTACATAGAATCATACACTCTGCAACCTTTGTGATTGTTTTTTTCACTCAGGATCATTCCTTTGAGATCCATCCAACTTGTTTGTATGGATAGTTTGTTCCTTTGTACTGCTGGGTATTATTCCATGGTATAGATGTATCCATTTGTTTAACCATTCACCCACTGAAGGACATTTTGGTTGTTTCCAGTTTGGGGCTATTACGAATAAAACTGCTATAAACATTTGTGTACAAAAGTTTTGTGTGAACCTAAGTTTTCACATCTCTGGGGTAAATGCCCAAGAATATAATTGCTGGGTTGTATGGTAAGTGTATATTAATTTTATAAGAAACTACCAAACTATTTTCCAGAGTGACTATGCCATTTTACATTCCCATTGGCAGTGTATGAATAATTCAGTTTCTCCACATCCTCGCCAGCATTTGGTGTTATCACTATTTTTTATCTTAGTCTTCCTGATAGGAATGTAGTAATATCTCCCTGTGGTTTTTTTTTTTTTTTTTTTGTCTTTTATCTTTTTCCGTGTCCGGCAACGGATCACAACTCTCAGTGTTGCCCCCGTACCAGACCGGACACCGGCAACGGGATTGCAACCCTCGGTGCTGCTCCCGCGCCTCGCTCAGCCAGTGAGCGGGAACCGGTCTGTACGTGGGATCCGAACCCTCGGCGGGAGCGCCGCCGCGCTCCCAAGTGGCGCACCGTAGCAGTGCGCCGTAGCAGTGCGCCGTAGCAGTGCGCCACCAGGCCGGCCCTCCACATGCTCTTTTTGAGAACAGAGAAATGCGATTGATTTTTGAATGTGTTGATCTTGTATCCTGTGACCTTTCTGAACTTGTTTATTAGTTCTAGGAGTTTGTAATTATTTTGTTTGCTGATTTTTGTCTGTCTCCCTCTTTTTTTCTTCATTTCCAGAAAGGTAGAGTAATGTAATTATTTTTTATTTGCTTGTTTTTGTCTGTCTCCCTCAGCTGGCTGAGAGCGCCCTGGGGCCAGGACTGGCCTTGTCCCTGTTGCATCCCCAGCACTAGCATGGTGCCTGAAACACAGGAGGCGCACAGTTAATGTTCCCAGAGAAATGAGTAAAAGAACGGTGCTGTCACTCTTACTTAGTTCCTTATTGTCAGCACTGTGGCATAGGAGGAGAAGCCTTGGGATAAACCTCAAGACACAGCCAATTCCTAATCCAGGTTCTGTCCCTGAACCACAACGAAACCCCCGTCCATGCCTTACCTCATCTGTGGGCTGAAGCTTCTCCTCCTGTGCCATGGTGTGTACCAATGCCTGATCACATGCCTTCCTTTCCTCACACCGCCATCACCTTCATAGGCTCTAGTCCTCTGAAATGGTTCTTGAAGACCTCCTATGATCTCTCTCTATATGCCGAACAGTACTTTAATAAGCAGCTCATCTATTTTAATCCCAGAGATCCCATGATTATACCTACAGGTCTCTAACAGTCAAAACACTCTAGTTACCACTCCAGCCCTGTAGCTTCCTGAGATAATTGTGCTTGCCCTGTCTCTGTTTAATAAGCACCTGTTTAATAAGCATCTAGCCTCAGCCACTCCTGGATCCCATTCCTCCCACCGACATCCAGGAAATCCCAGTTCCATTACAGCAGTGGTTCTCCCAGTGTGGTCCCCAGACCAGCAACATCAGCATCTGGGAACTGGTTAGAAATGCAAATTCTCAGCTCCCCCTCCCCAGACCTACTGATTCAGAAACGCTGGGGGTGGAGCAAGCATCTGAGTTTCAACAGGCCTCCTGGTGATTTTGATGCATGCTCAAGTTTGGGAACTTTTAGACTAGACTAATCACTCTCAATCCTGCCTCCTCATTAAAATCACCCGAGTTTTTGAAAAGATGCCAATATCAGCAGTTCCCAAACCTGCCTGCCCATTGGGGTGGAGTCACTTGGGGGCTTCAAAAAATACTGATGTCTATGTCCCATCCCCAAGAATGTGATTAACTAGTCTAGGGGAGGCTTGGGTTTTGGAATGTTTAAAAGATTCCCCAGGTGATTCTAATGTACAGACAAGTTAGGGAACCACTGTCCTAGGACAATTAAGTTATTCTGGAGGTGGGACCCAAGCCTCAGTATTTCTTTAAGTTTCCCAGATGATTCTAATGTGCAGCCAGGATTGAACTCTAGACTCAAGTTTAGAATCAACCACATATTTTGCTGTAAGGATCAGCCTGCATAAGGTATTCCCAAATCCACCTCCCAGCCAACTTCTCACTTGTTTTCATTTCATGTCTCCTCTGTCACAAGCCCTGTCCACTCTTCACACCTCCACCCACTGCCTGTAACTACTTCCACAGCGGCCTCCCCGCTTGAGGAGGCAACAGAACAGATGAGCTAGAGTCAAGTTGGTAGACTTAGGAGTGTGACAGACATGACCTCAAGTGTCTGCTCTGCCATTACTAGCTGCATGATCTTCAGAAAGTCATTGAACTTGAGTGCCAATTTCTTCATCAATACAACAACAATTTTAATGGTAATGCACTCATTGGTGGTTGTGCAGAATAAATGAAACAACATACTGTGAAGTGCTGAGCACAGTGCCTGGTCACGGTAAGCACTCAGTGAAAACCCACCTGGTCCTTAATGCCCAAGGCCCATCTCCTTCAGAGCTCTCCCGAACCATTCTGATCTCCCCTGCAGTGACCCACCACAGGTGCAATCCTTCCAGTTTCCCACTTGACTGGTCCCGCTATGGATGTTGGTTTTATAAGCTCCTTAAGCCCAAAGGCCAATCTGTTTCCTGTTAATCACTCCTTCCTCAATACTGCCTCCCTATGTGCTACATCTCTCTCTCGTGTTCCCCTGCTTTCCTCCTATACCCATTAGACGCTATACTCTTTAAGGGCAGGGACTTTGCCTCATTCATTTATGTAGCATCTGCACATACCTGGGACACAATAGGCACTCTGAAGTTTGCTGAACAAACCACACATTGAGCCCCCAGTAGGCATTCAGCCAGTGCTTGATGGATTACAAACTTGAAACCCCAACGAGGGAGAGCAAGCACCATGCTGCATGAACCTTGCCAAGAGAATGTGTTATGGAAACAGCAAGGGCCAAACCAATCCAGAGACCTTTGTGGTGGCAGTTACTCAGCAAATTCTGCACAAACAGGCCAGGAAAAAGGTCAGACTCACTTGGCCAGAAAATGCCTGTCATCTTCCAACTCTTCCCTTCCCCAAGCACGGCACAATGTAACTGTTCCTTTACGTAAGTGCTCCTGTTCCCTACTGCGGCAGAGTGTGGTGAAGCTGCCAAGTTCTGCGTCAAATACTCCTATCATAAGCCTCACCTCTACCACTGGCTCTTCTTAGGCTAAACTCAAGTGGCGTAATAATCTCTAACTCACAGGGTCACTGAAGAGATTATCTATCACCTAGAGTCAATGCCTGCAGGTAGAGGCACTCAGTAAAGGTTAGTCCTGCCATATTCTCTCCTGCCCTCAAGTGAAATGGGAGGTGGGGCCAGAGAGTTACTGTATTCTGCTGAATAATAATGAGATAGCTGACATCTTGTTATATGGGACAGTGGCTCTCAACCAGGGGACATTTAGCCATGTCTGGAGACAGATTTGATTGTCACAACAGGAGGGGGATGGGGAGGGAGAGGTACTACTAGCATCTAGTGGGTAGAAGCCAGGGTTGCTGCTAAACATCCTACTATGCACAGGACAGCCCCAACCCCCAACAAATAATGACCCATCTTCAAATATCAATAGTGCATTGGCTGACAACCCCTATAACCCTGTTACAGGGTAAGAGAACTCGAAAGTCCTGACCTCTTTCCTTCTTATCTGTCCATGCTGCCCCTACTGCTGCATTAAAAAACCTGTTCTCTCCAGACTCAACCGCCAAAAGCCGACCTGAGAGGCAGCCACCTCCTCCTGCCTCTCACCTTCTTCCCCAAGTACGCATACACACCTCCCAATGCCGGTGGACAGGATGGCAGTGGAGGTCTTCAGGTCCTCATAGAGGTCAGCGCCATTGAAGGGGAAAGCCGAGAACTGAGCCAGCAGCACCCGCCTCAGGGCAACCAGGGCCTGCCAAAGGACGCAACTCAGGCTCCCAAGCGCCCGACCGTTCAGCAATGAACCCCCACTGGAGCGGGCATCCCAGCTCTCATTCGCCCCCTCCCCCCCATCACTCTCTGGGAACCCTCTGCTCCCTTGGATTAGGGATGGGCATGTAAAGACACCCAGGTTTGGAACGTAGGGATCGTGAGCTCACCTTATAAGATAAGCCACCTTTCTGGGCTACCTCCTCCAGGTCTGCAGAAACCAGGTCCACCACTGAAAACAAAGCACGTGTAGCTGATCGGCAGGGCGGCCTGGGGCTTCCCACGCTTGGTTTTTCTCATCTGTAAAATGGGGCACCAATTCTACCTCCCAGCGGGCAGTCTCAGGAGCCACCAGGACGTGGCGCGGCGCCCCGCACACGGCTGGGGTCCTGCCCTTCTCCAGGGCCTGGCTCCCCCGCTCCCACCCTTCCCGAACCTCTCCAGCAGGGCATGGGGCTGAGGAGGGGAGGGGCGCTCCAGATATACCAGGGCAGTGCTGCCGACCCCGCGCGTCTGCCCAGGCTGTGCCCGGCGCGCGACTCTCCGACAAGCGCACACGCCGTCACCTGTTCTGATCCCGCAGCTCCTCAGAAGCTGGACCATCTCCGGGGTGAGGCCGGGGCACAGTCCGGCCCTGAGCACGCCCATGTTCCCTGCAGGACCGGGACAGCTCCACGTGGGCATCCGCGAGGCCCTCCCCAGACGCCCCTCCGCGCCCTTTTCTGGAGAGGGTGCAGGCTCACGGGCTGCAGGAGGGTGGGGGCGGCGCGGAGAGTCCGGGGACCCCCGCCCTACCGGGACCGGCGCCCCCGGCTCACCCGGGCCGCGCTGCCGCTTCCGGGTTCCGGGCTGGCGCGCCCGGCCTGAACCTGGCCTGCAGCGCCATCTGCCGGCCGCGCCGGGAGGAGCCGCGGCGACCCCGCGTCCCACACCACCCGCTCGCACCACGCGCCACCCCTGGCCGTATTCTGCCTCCACTTTCTTCCCCGACACACACCGACGTTCCGAGAAGCCTCCTATGTGCCCCTTTCCGTTCCAAACACTGAAGACACGAAGTTGAAGGAGACGGTCAATCCCCTACAGCCTCGTGTAAGGGCGCTTACTTGTTAGCAAGACAGTGAAAAGGAATCAAATAAATCAGATCATTACATATTATATGGTAAGTGCCAAGAGCAGCAACGCACATAGACAGCACCTGCTTCTCTGTATTTTCCAAAAGTTTTTCTTTCTTTTTTTTTTTAATGGGGGGAAAACCCTTGAGTATATGGAACACACACACAAAAAATATGGTTTGGTATTTTTAAATGTCCTTTGCTTTGCCTCATTCACTGGAAGAAATAAAACAATTTTACAGGGTTATCTCCTCACAGACCCATGAGGGAGGTGCTGTTTTTATTACTATTTCACAGATGAGGAAACTGAGGCTCACTGAGGTTAAGTCACTTGCCAAATCTTAAATAGCTGGTAAACACAGGCCTGGACTTCAAATCGACATCTAAGGGCAAAGCCAATGCTGTTTCACAGACCCCTCCCCACCCCCGAAGTTGTGCATATGTTTTCCTACTGTAAAGTGGTTTCCTTGAGAGCAGAGAGCATGCCTGGCCTGTCTTTGTGTCCCTCTGTAACACTCACCATTGTCACTCCACACATGAAGGTACTTGGGAGTGCAGGTGTGGCACATTTAGAATTCCAGCGGTAAAATATGGTCATATGTGAGCTAGGAACCACCACCCTAGGAACCATCTGGGCTTTCCCTATGCCTGCATGACTGGACACAGTGGGTTTGCTGCCTACGATTTCAGGATACAGAGGCTCAACATCTGCAGACAAGGTCTCCCACCCCCAGAGACCCTTCCCAGCACTGCCAACCTCCCAAGGCCCCAGCCCAGGTGCCTTTCTGCCCAGGTGCCTTTCTCTCACCATCCTTCCATGCCCAGGTGCCTTTCTCTCACCATCCTTCTCCTTCCCAGGGCAGCACCCAAGGGCACAGGTGTTAAGCATTTTGAGACTGGAAAAGGGCAGGGCTGCTGTAACCACAGAGTGTTAGAATTGGAAGGGGCCTAGTGGGTCACGCAGTTTGGCTCTCCCCACCCAAGACTCTGGCCCTTGGTCAGGCCAGCCCCCTAGTGAGCCCAGCAGCAGCAGCCTCAAGTCAAGAGGAGGCTGCCCCTAATTGTCACACTGTGATGATTATGAAGTCAGCTCATCACACCCCCATCCCACCCAAACTAAGGGTGGGTCCACTGCCCCCACAGTCTCTCTTCTTCCTGTCAGCTTGGTCATCCTGCATGGTGACGGCTGTGGTCCCCAACAAACCAGATGGCATCAGAGGCACTGTGCAAAGTGGGAGATGGGGAGGAGGCCCTGCTAAAGAAAGAAAACCTCAACATAATGAATGGAGTCGATCAACTGCCAAAGCCCTTTCCAAACCCCAAGTCTATGAACCGGACCGTCACCACCAAAGGACTCCCACTTTCCTTAAGAGGCAGTTTGGTTAACCTGGAGGACGATACCATCAATCTACCGTAAGACACAAGGCTGGTCCTTTTCTCCTTTCTAAGGCTGGAGTTGGGGGGTGGGAAGAGAGATTTGAGGAAACGATACCTCCTTGACTTGTCACAACCCAGTCCCTGGACTTTCAAGGAAGAGCACGCGTGCTAGTTGGACCTTCTATGTATTCCTGAGCCCCAAATCAGAACGTTCTTGGAGGCATGTGGGCCTCCCACTCCAGGAAGCCTTCCTGGGTTAGTCAGAGTTTTGGCTGTTGTTTTCTTTTTTGGAAGCTGGCTGGTACAGGGAATTTCACCCTTGACCATGGTGTTATAAGGCCACGCTCTAACCAATGGTCAGGGTTTTGTTGACAATGCTCCTCATCGTGCTGTGTCTGGCAATGGTTCTTACCACCACCACCACCACGACACACACACACACACACACACACACACACACGCACGGCTCCTCTCCCTGAGTCCTCTCCCTTGGACGCCTTCACCTGTCTGCTTATGTTCCCCCAGTAGCCTGCCTGCCTTCACGTTTAGGCTTACTATTCCTCCTCAGTGAGTCTGGGTTTTCTTTACTTGATTCCACAAAACTATTTGGGCACCTGCAAGGTGTCTGGCCCCATGTTAAGTTCTGGGAGTGCACAGCTGGAAATCACAGTCCCTACCTACAGGGAACTCCGAGTCTGGTGCACGGGGGTGGAGTGGGGGTGGGGTGATCAGGCAATAATGAGAATGATACAGCATAGTCTGGTCAGTGCTGTGACAGGATGGCTTGAGGAAACAGAGGGACTTCAGAGGGGCTAAAGCTTGGGAGAGGGGTGCAGTTAAAGGAGGCTGCTTGGAGGAAGTGATATTTAAGCTGAATCTCCAGGGAAGGGAAGGGGATAGCCAGTACAGAAGTGGTTATGCAGGGTGATGGAGGCTGAGGGAATTCTAGGCAGGGTGGTGTTCCTGGGCTGTGGCTTGTGCAGTCACACACAGTCCTGCATTTAGAAGGGGCCTGTGCTTAGTTTAATGCTCTGCTAATAATTCTTGAACAAGGGGCTCCACACTTCAGTTTGCACTGGGCCCACAAACTATGTAGGTGGTCTTAATTATCTAAGAGGATGCAGTGTCTGTTCCCTAAAGGACCTGTAAGTAAGCAGTCATGGCTAAAGTGCTGGATGCTTCATGGTGTGCCCACTCAGCACTGGCATTTCCAATAAGTGAATCTGAGATGTGGACTCGTTGGGACAATCTGAAGTATAAATGACATCAACAACCAGACTCTTCAGCCTACAAAGGACCTAGGGTGGGGAATCATTTATTCCAAACATCCACCGAGGGCAAGCATAGGGGGTCTGGGCTGATCAGGATTTCTCAGGAGGAGGGCAATGGGGCTGGAATTCAGGGAGGAAACATTTGGTCCATCAATCAACCATGAAGTGGGAGTCTGGCCTGGAAGAAGGGATCCACAGACTGTGGATTGTGACTCTTTAATGGGTCAGGAAATCCTTCCGGTTGGAGACCAGTATGATAAAAATGAACGAAAATATAATTGAAAATTCCAGAGCACAAAATACAACGAGGAAATAATGGTCTGTGAAATGTTTGTTTTAGTTATGTGTATGCATGCACATACTAAATCACCATGTAATATGTATTTCTTACTTTGTGTCAAGGTGAAAGAAAGATTTGGAAGCCAAACTTTCTGGATCTTCATCAGTAAAAAAATGTTTAAATAATGGGAAATCATGGACAAGGTTTTTCTTTGTAATAGCAAAGAATTGGTAACAATACAAATATCGATGTAATGGAAAACCATACAATAGTTAAAATGACTGAAGCGGAGCTACATTTGTCAATATAGATGAATCTAAACATGATGTTCAGTGAAAGAAAACAAGTTGCAGATGGATATGTATTGAATAATACTTTTTATTTATACAAAGTCTAAAAACATGCAAAATAAAAGATCTTGCCTAGGGATAACATACATATGTAAACCTGTAATGACACAGTGCATAATAAATCCTAACTTTTAAATTTCCTGTACGGGTTACCTCTATGTGGGAGGATATGGCATGCAGTTGGGGAGAGAAGTATCCAGGGGGCTTTAACTGTTTGACAAGATTTTATTTCTGAAGCCAGATGAGGGGTAAATGAAAGCTTAGAATATATTACTCTTGGGCCGGCCCGGTGGTGCACTGCTACAGTGCGCCGCTTGGGAGCGTGGTGGTGCTCCCGCTGAGGGTTCGGATCCCACATACAGACCAGTTCCCGCTCACTGGCTGAGCGAGGTGCGGGCGCAACACCAAGGGTTGTGATCCCGTTGCTGGTCCTGGTCCGGTATGGGCACGACACTGAGGGTTGTGATCCGTTGCCGGACACGAAAAAAGATAAAAAGGAAAAAAAAAAAAAAAAAAAGAATATATTACTCTTGGGCCAGCCCGTGGCTCACTCGGGAGAGTGTGGTGCTGATAACACCAAGGCCACGGGTTCGGATCCCATATAGGGATGGCCGGTTCGCTCACTGGGTGAGCGTGGTGCTGACAACACCAAGTCAAGGGTTAAGATCCCCTTACTGCTCATCTTTTATTTAAAGAAAAAAGAATATATTACTCTTGATTTCTTTGTGTGTCTAAAATATGACCATTTACCCAATGTATGAGGGCACTTCAAAAAGTTTGTGGGAAACTAGAACTAAAAGATAATTTGAATCTTTCCACGAACCTTTTGAAGTACCCTCACATGTATATTTATTTGTACTACTATTAAATTTAAATGCTTTATATTATTATTATTTTTTGTCTTTTTGTCTTTTTCTGTGTTTTTTTCTTTTTTTGTCTTTTTGTCTTTTTCTGTGTCCGGCAATGGATCGCAACCCTCAGTGTTGCCCCCCGTACTGGACCGGGGACCGGCAATGGGATTGCAACCCTCGGTGTCGCTCCCGCGCCTCGCTCAGCCAGTGAGCGGGAACCGGTCTGTATGTGGGATCCGAACCCTCGGGCGGGAGCGTCGCCGCACTTCCCAAGTGGCGCACTTATCCAGTGCGCCACCGGGCCGGCCCAAATGCTTTATATTATTATTAAATGTTATTAAAATGTAAGTAAATGTTAGTGATTTCATTAAATATTAAACAATAGCAAATAGATATTAGTAAAGCTT